CAATTTTTCCAATTTTCCAATCCAATTTATATAATTTTTGCGGCTTGTTGAAAACACCTTATCCTTGTAGCCAGTGTGGAGCCTATCTAACCAGTAATGATGCGAGTTGTTAGAAAAAGAAGAAATGTATTCCTGGTTTGTAATTTTGCATCGGGACTTGTGCCATTAAAAGAAACACATTAAATAGCGTCTTAATTATTTCGATTTGTCCTTAGAATTTAAATTCTCGGATTCCTTTGGTCAGACCATTAATTCCTCTTAATCGAAATATATTATATATAGTATTTGTTTTTCGACTTATCTTATTCATTTATCAGAGTGGTGCTGCTTACCCACCTATTCTCGAGTTATTGTCTGATGAAGTGGTCTCATCTTTTTTTTTAAAGAAAGAGTCCTCACCATTACTGGTTAAACTCGCTCCACTGGCTTGTCGCATTAGGCAATATGCCATTGACTCCTTTGGCGATAGAAATACAGGTGAGTTGCCAGCATCACCCGAGTCTCATCTTTTTATACACTATAGAATGAAAAAATATCTCATTGGACATTGAATAGGCACCTATCAGTTTTCATTACGATATATATTATTTTCTCAAATTTTTCTAAGAAAGTAGAGCAAGTTTTCCTTGAATATTTTATAAAGAATGAAAATAAAAAATTTTATTTTCGATATTCCGGTTTATGGGAATTTTCAAAGATTTCAATTTTTTAAACTTAAAAAAACAAAACTTTTTTTCTAACAATTTTCTTTCATCGTTTCCCCCCTCTCCCCCTCTTCCACCTTCTCTTTCCTCGACGCTAATTTTTTATCAAAGTGCTAAAGTAAATATAGCTGATCTTTTTTAATAATTTAATATAATAATAAAATAATTTAAATATTTAAATAAATATTTAATATTTAATAAAATAGATTTTGATGACTAAAATAAGCGAGTTTGAAAAAAATTCGTTTTCTTGAGTAAATTATTTTTTTTGCTAAACAAATTAAATATTTCTCGTTAAATTTTAAATAATTTAATATATATATATATATATATATATATATATACCAAAAAATAAATACTTTGCACTTATAAATGCACTTAATTAGTTTACCACTTAATTTTAGAATAGACTAGTCATTTTGCCTATTGGCGGTCAAAAATTTTTGACAGGAAACCACTTCGCCATAAAAAAATAGAGCTATTATCACCACTCAAATTTTTTACCGACATGTCCAATGCTGTCGGAGAACCATTTTACATGTCAATACTTCAATAATGAATCATTGCCACTTAACTATTAAAGCCACATTATTTAGTTGATTTTCGCTAAATTTAGTTGAAATGATACTTGATAAAAGATAAAGATCTCTTTTTTTCTCTTCCTTATTCTATTAGATCTTCTAACTATAACAATTTGGAAAATATTTTACTTGGAAGATTTTTTTGAGTATTTGTTTTATTATTATTGCTGCTATTACTATTATTGTTATTGTTATTGTCATTAATTATTTATGTTATCATCCTTATTATTATTATCATTATCATTGCAAGAGTAAAACTATCGAAAATCTGGGTGATGTATGCGACTCATTTTTACTTCGATCACCAAAGAATTCCTTGAGCCTCTTTTTTTGTACGACTAACTAGCGGAATGAGTCGAACCAGTAATGGTGAGGTTTCTTTAAAAAAAAAAAATTATCATTAACATTATTATTTCATTGGATTGCGAATTTTGACTTTAAAGACTTTTTTATATTTATTCATGAATGAACATTTTCATGGATGAAGAATGGAATTATAGAAATAATTCCAAAAATCTTAGAAATTCTTCAAATTTCGAAATTCGGCAAACCTATATTTTTTACCAATTTCTAGTAAATTTATTGCTATTGCTATAAAATGATATTTATTTAACGAAAAAGAATAAATTTCTAAATGGGTTCAAGGACTTCATATTCGATATAGGTTATTTGTTTAATCGAATGGGCAATTAATCTGATGGATCTTTCAATTTTTATGCAATGTTCCGTTCAGCTTTTATATTTATAATAACTAAGCTGCTTAAAGTTTATCTTTATCTTTATTTCTAACGCAAATTATTTTTTTGATAAATCAAATCAAATGATAATGAAGATTATTATATAAGAAGACAAAAGCCGACGAGAGAATGAGAATCAACGTGAAAGTGAAAAATAAAATAGTTCGATGATTTTTCAAAAAATTTATTCCATTCATAAAAAATGATAATAATTAATTTGGAAAAAGTTGGAAAAAAAAATTTGGCGAGAAATTCAAAATAAAAAAAAAACGATTAGTACAAATCGTTCTTTCATTGATAATTTTAGGTAAATTATTAAAATTTTCTTTTCATTTTTGAACATTTTTATAAAAACTGTGAACCGAATCGGATCGATGTTTATTCATTTAAAAGAGGATTTTTACAAAATCCGATTTTAAATGGTTATTTACGGCTATTGAAACAAATAATGCAATTTTTATCCTTTTCAAGGCAAACAGTTGAAATATAATCATAAATTTATAAACATTATGAGATTTATTTTATCGCTAATAATGATTAATAATATAATAATAATAATAGTAATAATAATAATAATAGTAATAATAATAATAATAATAATAGTAATAATAATAATGAACGATGATCGCTATATGAAAAACGGTATAAAATTTGAATTAGTTCCTAATTAATGATTTGAAGTGTTCGACCATCGAATCCATTTTGTTTACTCCAATAACATTTGGATTTTTCGAATTATCTAAATTTTTTTAGGATTTGTTTTTTTCTCAAATTTTTCCTTCAATTCAAACTATTGCTTCATTCCGGAAATACTCATTCTTTAGGGGATAGAATTGCTCGATGGGTTGTTACTCAATTGGAGCGCTGATTCTGAGGTTCGATTCTCTGCAGAAGTAAATTTGTACAAAAATCCGAGTGGTGCTGGCGACTCATCTATCGCTAAGGGATTCCCTAGCATATTTGTCCAATGCGACAAGCCAGTAGAGCGAGTCTAACCAGTAATGGTGAGGACTCTTAAAAAAAGAGAATTGCTTCATTCCAGAAATATTTCTGCCATTACCATTTAATAAAGTTTTTACTGTTATATTTGGCATGAATTCGAGCGATTTTTCATTTAATTTCGTTGGCTAAAATATAAGCGCTAAATTTTTCATTAGGTGACAAAAATGCAAAAAAGCATTAATAAACTACTTCTTTGAATTCTTTTTCTAGCAGTTCTCATCATTATTGGTTGTGCTGACTACAAGGATAAGACGTTTTCAAGCTATTTGATTCTATTCGCTATCGTCGACATTGATAGAAGCCATTCCTTTTTCCATCGTCTAAGCCCATATATTGCTGGTCCACCTATACATTCTTTCCTGATTGTATCAGTCCAAGCCTTGATTGGCCCACCTCGCTTTTGATACAATCCATTATAGGATTTAACAAATAGCGATATATGTGTATACGATCAACTTCTGTGTTGGGTGCTTTAACCAGCGAAGACATTATTTAATGATGGTACTGTTAATGTGGCAAGTGCGATTTGAACAGATGTGGATGTGATCATAGGAAATTTTATCCACTCAGCGAAACCATAAAATTTATCTTAGATATAAGTGGTCAAAGCTTCTTAATATCTTCCACTCTCATTGAACATGTAGGAATCACGAACTGCGACTATATGAATGCGGATTTTCATATATAATGCATATAAGCATATTTTTTAGTGATTTCGCGAGAAATTTATAAAATTTTTAATTAATTTTTAGCAAATTTTTGAAGATGAAAATGATAAATTGTTAAGAAAAAGTTTTATGAGTTCTATGAATAAAACATTTAAGTGAGACAGTTAGTAGATCTTTTGGAGATGCTATTTGGAGGTTATTATTTTAATTCCTAAAATAAGTACATCGATATTAGAACTACTTCTGTGTAGTGTCAATTGGTGCTGAATCGATGAAAAATTTGCAAGTTCAAGGATTCTTCTTGATAAACCACAGTGCTGGTTAATTCAAAATTTTTCGTTTTTTAGCTAAACCTTTCATTTTCCTTTTAAATTGGAAATATTAATTGCTTTACCAGGAGTGAAATTTTATTAAAATCTGCTGGAAACTCATGCAAAGTTGAATGCTGTAATAACATGAAGATTGGTGAAGGGCTTGAAAAATATGTGCCTTTGTAAAGGCACTATCAACCCTTTATCAATTCACATGGGATAGATCAGCTGATTGTTGAATTCTTCAACGAGCATTTCTAAATGGTGCCTTATTTAAATTCAATTCATTTCACCCGAACCTTAGTCTTGGGAACTCCCGGTTTGTAAATCTAATACTTTTTGCCCATATAAATTTCCTAAAAATACGAAATTAATTATGAGAGGATTTTATTAAATTACCTTTTCTTTTCCGAATTTTCCAAGATACAAACTAAATTGTTAAAAAATATCTGGCAATATAGATCAGCCTGAATGATAAGATGAATTTTTTCATTAAAAATCATAAAATCTTGATTAATTTCAGATATTTCAATGCGAATGATTCCAAGATAAAAACTATATGTAAGCATGAATGCGATGAAACATTTTCCACAATTTTCACTTATGGATCATGCATTTCCATATTAAAAAGCAACGATCCAAAGATAGCTTGTTCATTAAAGTAATTAAAGTTTTTAAAAAATTTATACAATTTATTCCTTCTCCTTCAGTATTTAATGAAAGAGTGATGATATACCACATTATTTGAATAGGAAAAGGTTAAACAAATTTTGCCTAAACGAATATTGGTAGGATTATAACTACAGAAAAATTGAAAACTTTTTTGGTATATATTTCGAGCTAATTTAAAATCTATTTTAAAAAAAGGTTGAGAAGTAAAATTATTATAACAATTTTATACAGTCGCCAAAAATTGGTTTCATTTTATTAAGAACCAAAATTTGTCAAAATTTTTTTTTTGTCTCCAATTCGATAATTTTATGCCAAAGTTAAATAGCATTACAGATGTGCACCTAAAGTTCGATCTCTCGTTACTATCGGTGCATTACTTGTATTAGCTGCAGCTTTAGCTACACTTATTTTCACCTTACCTCTATGTATCGCAACTTGTGCATCATGTCTCAATGCTAAAAAGGTATATTATTATGCAAAAAAAAAAGATTTTTCACTACGAATGATTTCTATCTCAAACTATTGTGATAAATAGTGATAAAATATTCATTAAATTTGGATTTCGAATGAAAATCTTAGAAATTCACCTAAGGTGATTTCCTAATGAAGTGAAAAATCTTTATTGATTTATTGATAATAAGTTGATAGTAAGATTTGCCTATTTTCTGATTTGCCTAGCAATACTCCAATTAGCAAATTTTGTTAAGGAGTGATGGTGAAGATGGAAGTTTGAAGTTGAAGACGATAATATATATATAGCAACAACCACTCGGCTATCTTAATAGTCACTGGAATCAGCCAAATTAGAAATGTTGACTGACTGAAAATTGTCTTTAATAACAGAAATTTTTAAAATTGAAGAAACTTTTGTTTAATGGTTGAATAAATTTACAGGCAAATAAAAATGCGAAACGAGTCTATACAGAAAGTCAAAATCAACCATCGAAAGATCAACAAATGCAAACTTTATCCTATAATCCATATGCTTATTGGCCATATTATGGACGAAGCTAAAGCGATTGAAATATTCAAAATCCGATTCATTTATCATTTATCAGTTATCTCATCAGTTCTTCGTCACTGATTGCAATTTTCTTGCTAGTTTCGATCAAGAAGCGATTACTATTTTTAATTTTTTCAATTAATAATTTGCTCAAATCTGAAATTTCTGAAATTGTGAATTGTTAGTTAAAAAAAACGAAAAAAAACGTAATTTTAATATAAAATTTTTCATGAAATAGATTTCCCCTCCAAGAATTTAGCGCAATCGCTATTATATCTAAGCGCTCGTTATGATAAAAACGACAAATACAATTATATAAAATAAACGGCCATAAAATATATATATATAATTACACTATAGTGATTGACTAATGGATTTTGGATAAATTTGAGCTAATTGCTTCTTTTAAGGAATTTTTTAAAAATTTTAGAGATTCATAAATTCGTAAATTTTAAAGATTTACAAATAATGTTGATTTCATAATTAGTTGAGAAAAATTTTCTGTCTAATTTACTCATAAAAGAAAAAAAAAATTTCGGAAATTTTATTAAATTAGGTTAGAAATAATAATCTAATTTACTTTTCCAATAATATTTTTAATTTTTTAGTTTTCATCTTGTATAAGTTTTTTTTTCTTTTCTCTAATTTCTATTTATGCTTTTAATTTTTCGATTTTTCCATTAGTGAAAAAAAATTATAAAAGATAAAATATAGTTGAATTTTTTAGCTAATTGATACACGAAAAGAATATAATAGATTATTTAATTTAAGCAAAATTTGATCCATTAATTGCCGTTCTTTCCTTTACATTCCTATACGAATATACAGTATTTTATTGCTTATTTTGTAAAATATTGAACTGGATGAGAAGATTTTGATTTTGATCGTAAAATTCTTAAAAATTCCGCAAATTTTCACGAATCCGACTAGTTTAAAATTCAAGCTTTTCATCTAGATTAACATATAAATTTAATCTGATTCATTATGGTACTTAAGGTTTCTGATTCATTATGGTACTTAAGGTTTCTTCATTTATATACTATTGGATTTTCATGTTTTTCTTGCATTCATTAACATTCGACGATTTAGATTTCTCTAATCCGAATGAACTTTGATAAAATATAAAAGTGCTATGTTTAACCCCCTATTTGCCGTAATGCCTTCTTCTTTAAAGCACTAAAGATGTTATATTTTTGGAACCTTGGAACTTTTCCTTTTAAAGCAAGGATCGATCACTTTAATAGTTTATCTTTTGTCATTCGTCATTATTTTTCAATAATAAATTCTCTTTTTTTTTGCCCAACACTGCCTCATTTCCTTTTTTTTCCTTTTTTTTGTTCATTTATTTATTATTTTAAATACTTAAAATTCACTCGAATTTCAATCACTAAATCAGTAAATTTCATTTTAAGCAATTTAAATAATTTTATTTTTTGTGATTTTATTTGAAAAAAAAAATATTAAAATTGTAAAATTATTGTTTTTTTTCCCCCTATAAATTGCATTTGTATTTTTTGTATTTTATTATTAATTTGTATGTTAGTGAATGTTTGCGTGTGTATGTGTCTGTGCATGTATATGCATGTGTCAATTGTATACGATTTTTCGCTCAAAAACTGTTTTTTTTTGTATGTATGGGATGAATAAATTTTTTTCAAATTTTTTTACTACAAATTTATGCATGAATATTGCATGTTTATGAAGAGAAATTCATAAAAAAAAAAAAAAAAATTCACACGAACGATTATGAATAAACGAACTAAAATTTATTTAGCAATTTTTTCGTATTCAAAATTTTATTATTTTATTAATTTTATTAACCATTTTTATTAAGTTTACTTTCATTTCTTCATTTCTTGTTTTTTGTTTGTTTTTTCCATTTTTTTATTTATTATTTATTATTATAAAATATTTAAATATTTATTAGCGAAAAATTTATCGTTGAAAAATAATCGTCGAAAATTTTTACGAATTTTTTTTTCTTTTTTCTTTTCAAAAGACAAAAGAAATATTGATGTGCTTTGATTTATTCACAAGGGAGACAAAGAAAATTCGCTAAATTTACATCGCATGAAGGGATTATAAGATTACACTTTTAAGCAATTTGTATATTTGCTCGCATAAAATATTTTTGCTCTTCAAAATCGAACTTCATGCATATTCAAATTTTAGATTTCGACTGAGAATCGATATTTTGAAAAGTTGGATTTTTTTTTTTTCTTTTGAGATTTTCGCTAATTTTCTAACAATTCCAAGATTTATTTTCTCCAAATTCAGAAAATAATTTTGTTTTATTTCTCTTTGATATTTTAATCATATTTATTGCGCTTGTTATATTGTTATATTATAAGGATTAATTAAATAAGAATTCAAATTTCTTTGGTTATAGAAGATGCAATATTATTATATGAGGTCAAGCTAAAGGTCAAGCTAAAGGTCAAGCTAAAGGTCTCAATAATATGCTCTGCAATAAAATAACGCTTTTTTTCAAAAAAAATAAATGCTGAACATCAAGTAACTTCGAATAAAAACTGAACTAAAAGAAGTAAATTAAATTTAAACAATAATTTACAATTCTATAAGATTGAATAAAAATAAATTTATGAATGAATGTTTTTGCGCCAAAAAAAAATTAAAAAAAATAAAATTTCTTGATTGATGAAAATAATTGAATTTATTAAATGAAACTGGAATTGGAAGGATTCTTTGAAAAATTTTCACATTCTCAGTTCAATCCAATAAGTTAAAAATTTAAATCGCCTGAAGGCCATTCGATTCTATTCATTGAATAATTCTTCGATAATCCGATAGGAAAATTTAAGAAATTTTAAAAATATTTTTGCACAAATACGTCGAAAAATAATACGCAACAATTGCTGATATTTTTAGAAAAATAAGATTAACTAAAATAAACTGGAAATTAATCGTTTTTCTTCTTCTATATACGAATCACTTATATAAACAATATAGAAAAAAAAAAAAACTAAATCCATATTTTCATATTTAATTTTTAATTTTTATAAAATTTTTGCACCAAATTAATAAAAATTCAAAAATCGAAAATTTCACTCTGCCAATCGCGATGAGATTTTAAACCGATATAAGTTAACGAAAATTCGTCGACATAAATCTTATTAAACATTGTTCTAGTAAATATTTGAAGAATTCTGAAAATTCTGAAAATATTTGAAACTAATTATCGTTTTAAAATAGTGGTACCAAAGACACGATTGTCAGATGCTGTATTATTTCTATTGGCCAAACGATCATTAATCCAATTCGCTCTTATCACTTGAACTTCACGAGAAACTTATCATTGGACTTTATTATTGAAAATAAAAATTCCTCTATGCCTCTAAGCGTTCCTCTAGCGATGAGATTCCTTTTGAGATTCGTTCCTTTTGATAATGGAGCTAAACGAAAGCAGAAATATTGAATGGAGAAAAAAGGATCGATTCTATAATATTTTATGTGAAAATGAGAAAAATAAACTTTATAAAAAATTTTTTTAACAAAATATGATTTTATTCAATTTAAGAGAAGAACAAAAAAAAACTTTGAAAAAGAAAAATTTTTTAGTTTTTATTTCAAAACTTATATAAATATATGAAAAGTTTTTCGAAATTCAGTTGATGCGTAAGAAAATTTTTAACTATTTCATATGTCTTATTTTAAATAGCTAAATTCCCAAAAGCGATATTCTTTGATATTTTAAAAGACGGACGAAGATGAACGGACGCCTTTTGATTTCGATTTTAAAATTCATAGAAATAAGTTATAAAAAATATTGAAAAACGAAAATTGAGAAATTTTCAAAATCAAATTGAAGAATGAATGAAATACGATTGAAAAATAAGCAAAAGAATAGCCAGCGAGAATGCCACGAGGGAGTAACCAAAATGATCGGATTTATTTCCAAAAATCTTTTCGTTAAATTTTCCATATTTTCTGGATTTCCTTTGAGAGAAACGACGACCTCAATAGTTGATTGAGTAGAGCAACTTTCGAAAATGGATGAATATATTCGCCCTTTTTGTACTTATCTCCTATGATTTCAGTTTTATATGCCTTTGCCCTTTTTAAAATATTGAAAAGAAAAGACAAAAACCATAATTTCATGCATCTCATCTGATTTTTATTCGCAATCTTTTTTATACAAATAAAAATTCGAAAAAATTTTTTCCATTAATAAATATTATTTTTTATTTTTTTTTTTCTCAAAATAAATTATATTGCATTGAATTTTTATTAGAAAAATTTTTTACTAACTACTTTACAAATTCATTCATTTTAATATTTTTTTCTAAAATAATAAATGAACAAAATAGATGAATTCGTAGAATTAATTGAATTTTTCATAAAAAATTTAAAAATAGAAAAAATTCTTTTAAATAATTTCAAGGCAATATTTTTTAGTTGTGTTTTCGTATCATTCAATTCAATTTTCACGTCAAAATTAAATCCACACTTTGCGCAAAAAAAAAATTAGAAAAAAAGGTTAAAAGGCAAATAGTATGATGGAATTTTTTTAAAATGCTTTAAATATTTTCAATAAAATTTTTATTAGTAACAATTATTACTCGAAGAATACGGTGGCTTCATTTCTTTTTTCTTTTTTTAAATAACCATTTCTACCATTTTTCGATTCGATTGATTCCACTAATAAACAAGATGAAATCGTTTCAGCATTTGTAGAATTGGCTTGCAATTAAAAGTATAGGTAAAGTACCATTCGAATAATATCGTTTGTAATAAACAATAGATTTATTCTAAATTAAATTGATTTTAATAAAAACTCTTTAATTAATTTCAAATTAAATTATAAACTTTTGCTTATCATTAATTTCGTCTTAAAATTAGCATAAAACTTGCATTCTATATTACACAAAAATATTCCACAAACCGGATTTTAATTTAACTTAAATTAACGCAAATATAAGAAATGAAAAATAACGAATATATTTTGAAGAAAATAAGAATAATCAAAAAATTTGTATTATTTATAAATGAT